GGCTTCTGGCAAGAACATTCTGTCCCAGCAGCTAAATGCAGGCTTCCCTGAGTCACACACTGACTTCATCCCCCATTCCCTGCACCCAGGGCCTTCTAAATAACTTGGGAGGAGAAAGAAAAAACAGAGCCCCCTCCCTTTTATTAGAGAACTATAATATGCTGCCACTCAGCGGCTGGGACTTGAGAGGAGCCCTTGGTGGATAAGGCCACCCTGGGGAGCTGCACTCGCCGGGCCTCCTATGCACAAAGCCAAGAGCCCGTGGAGCGAGTGTCCCAACCAACCTTGGGATCTGGGAAAGAAACTCCTTCCCGGTGTGACACGATTCACAAGACAAATGAGATCACGTGACCCCACTGTTGGAAAACCCTTGAACTGAGACAAATTCCCAGGTTCCCCAGCTCCCGAGCCCGGGCCCTGCCCCCTCTCCCGTCCTCCGGTGGGGACATCCTCCTCCTTGTTCCTGATGCCAGCTTGGAGCTGCCTCCCCCGTGACCAGCCTTTCCACATCCACAGCCTGTGCCCTCGCTGCCCACAGCACACCTCTGCTGACGCTTGGGTGCCACTCAACTCTCCAGCGCCCCGCGTGGCTGCTCTTCAGGCCGGCCAGCTGGCCACGCTCTTCAGCTCTGAGTCTCTATTCTTGCACGGAGTGCTTGGCTTTCTTCGCTGCTCTGAACCATGGGAATGTGGGATTGTGCACTGACTGACACACCAGCCTCGGCTCCCTGAAGGGTCCGTGACTACCTCCTTCATCAGGGAGCCCCTCATGGCAGGTGTGCACTATACGTGTGCCTTAGAAGAACGGTGTCTCACCTCGGCTCAAATCCTGAGCTTTCTGTTTTAAACAGAGCTTAGGTTTTGAATGGAGACACTGTGTGAGCGGAGATATGTCACAGATATAAAACTGCAGAGGTATGTTTTTAAATAGGAGGCCACCCTTTTTGACAATGGATAGCTCCTTCCTCTCCTCTCCATTCGTTTTTAAAAAAATGTTTTAATTTGAAAAAAATGTATTCATTAATTTTTATTGTAAAGATGATGTACAGAGGGGTTACAGTTATATAAGTCAGGTATTGAGTACATTTTTTTTTTCGGTTGTGGGGTTTGAACTCTGGGCTTGGGCGCTGTCCCTCAGTTCTTCAGCTTAAGGATAGAGCTCTACCACTTGAGCCCCAGCACCACTTCCAGTTTCCTGTTGGAGATAAGAGTCTCACGGACTTTCCTGAGCGGGCTGGCTTTGAACCGTGATCCTCAGTTCTCAGCCTCCTGAGTAGCTAGGATGACAGGCATGAGCCACTGGCACCCAGTGAGTACACTTCTTTGGAACAGTGTCACCCCTTCCCTCGTTTGTTCCTCTCCATTCCTGTGGCAGGTCTGTTTCACTTGAGATGTCACTTTCCAGAGTGTGTTGCACAGATTTAAGTGTTTGTGTGGACGGATGTAAACCCATGGATTCATGTTGTTGTGAAATGGCTACCGTACCCAGAAGGCTCTGTGTGACCCTGCTTAATCCATGCCCCCACCTTTGGGCAAACACTGCTGTCAATCTCAATTTGGACTTTTTTTTGGGGGGACAATGGAGTGTGATCAGTCCTGATCACACTTGCTAGGCAGTCCCTCCACCTCTTGAGCCAGTCTCTCCCCTCTCTCCCCCCACCCTCGGCCCAAGTCATTTTTACTTTTTTGTTTTTAAAATAACCTCTTGCTCTTTGCCTGGACCACAATCCTATTTAAGCTCCCCACAAATCCGGGGTGACAGCCGTGCATCACCTCACTCAGCTTTTGTGGGTCGAGAGAGAGTCCTTCAAACTTTTTACTCAGGCTGGTCTCGAATTGTGATCCTCCCAATTCTAGCCTCTCAAGTAGCTAGGATTACAGCTATGAGCCACCCCATCCGGTTTTACCATTTCTTAACTTCCTAGATGGAAGTCATACATGACGTATTCTCATAGAGTATTTGCCCAAAAGTGTGATTTTGAAATCATGCTGTTATAGGAGCCAGCAACTTGTGTATTTCTTGTGTGCATGTGTGTATGTGTGTACGTGTTATAGTTTGTTTATGTATTATGGAGGTGAAGGACATTTGGGATTTATCCAGTTAATGGCATTATGTTACAAATGGACTGGGTGTGCTCTCCAGAGGGAGCGGCTCCCTGATGGGTGTTTAGACGCTGCCATTTCCCACCAGTGTGTGGAGGAGTGTTCTCCTCGTTCCATATCCTTTCCAGCACGAGATGTGTCCGCACATTTAAATTCAGCCATTCTGGTAAATGCATGGTGTATCTCTCTGAGGTTGTTTTGTTTGTTTGCTTGCTTGAGATGAGGTCTAGCTATATAGCCCGGACCTTCCCATATCAGTGCTGGGATTTTAGGTGTGCACTACCGTACCCAGTTTTAGTATTCTTAATTATAGCATACAATGGGGAAGTGTTGAAAGAAGTTCTTAGCATGCATGAAATAGCTTAAGAGCCAAGATAGCTGAATAAAGCAGAAAGCTCTTCCAGCACCTTTTATCAGTGTTCAACAGACCCTCCCTCCCCAAGCCTTGCGTGAATTCTCTCCTTTCCAGAGATGGTTGCCAGCTCATTTCTCCCAAGGCTCATTTCTGGGAGAACCTAGATGTGCTCATTTCACATAATAGTGACATCGTGAGCGACTACGGTTACCCCTGCAGGAAGTGGCCACAGCACAGAAACGACACCACACGGACAAAGAGTCATTCACCAGATATATTTGAAGTCTAAGCTCTTTGAGCTACACACGTGCACAAATGATTCAGTCAGTGGAAATCGTCCCCTTCCCCTCCATTTAAAAACTTGCCAACACTTGGGATCGTGACAGAGAGGTTTGCATCATGTGTGTCATGGAAACGTGGAGGTGGTGTGACTTACAACCGTCTCTGCGAGCTTTCGCTGGGGCTGTGCCCCACACCCCGGGGAACCAGCTCCTCTGACCCCCAAGAGCCCTCCCCCCGACACATCGCAGAGCTCAACCCCCAGACAGAGGGCCTTGATATGTTGCATTGACTCTTGACAAGGCTATACATGCCACTGCAGGAATCTGTCATGTTTCACTTTCCCTAAATGGCCGGAAATGACTGCTTGGAACTCCCGGAACTCATTGGCAATCTCTTTCTCTCTTCTCCAAGTCTTCAGAACGTGCATTCTGAAGGAACCCCTGAGCTGCAGAGAAAAGGGGGACCCACGTGACAGAGCCCGCTACCAACTGCATCTCTGGGTGCAATATTCTTCCCACTAGAGGGCGTCACGGCTCCACTATGACGTCTGAAGTCCCCCATTTCTCAGTGAGAGGGAAACAAAAACCTTCACAGGCAAGCGAAGTCAAGGCATGAGCTTAAAATGCGCTCCTCAGACTTTATTTTTGAAAGCAGTCTTCATTTGTTCCTATGGGAACTCAGGATTTTTACAGGCAACACTCTCCTCAGTTCCAACGGTACTGTTCAGTACTATATTGCTATATTCACAGTAGAACGGACTTTAATTTCTGAGTGATCAGTCTATGTGAGACATTCCTGAAGAAACTAACATACACCTTAGTCCATTTAAAAACATACACACAAACAACACAGGAATCCTTCGATCGGTTGGCTGTGTTATTTTTCTTGGGTGCTTTCTGAAAGTACTTCCCCCACTCCACGGAGATTTGAATTTGTGTCTAAAGGAGTTTATTAATGTACAGGACTAACGAGCCTGGCACAGGGAGTGGGAGGTGATGGTTTTCTAGGTGTATCTTCTGTAATGCACTTTGGGCTAGAGGAATACAAAAGTCACATGTAATGGAAACAAACCACTCTTTTGAGCATTGAGGGGTCTGTAGGGGCAGGGTGAGATGGGCATACATTTATCTACTGTTCTTTCTTCTTCTACTATGCTCAGATGCTACTGTCCTCAGAAGGTGTAGCTTCCTTCAAAGCATCTACAACGGACACTTAGTCTTTATCTCAAAACAAGTTGACTCCACAGCAAAGATGTTGGCTAATCATTTCTACATTGACATGAGATGATACTTCCGTGCCATTTCGAAACAGCATTACCCATAGTTAGTTGCGTAGTACTATTAGATTATCTAGATTAGTATATGAACGCATTCAGAAGCAATGCACATATTACGTTCTTCAGCAGCGAATGGTTGAACAATCACTAAATAAAAAACCTCCAGATTGTAAAAGCACAGCTGAAACATTTGTACAAATATACAAAGAGGAAAAACAAAACAAAACATCCTTCAGACACTGTGAGGTCTGATCATCAATAGGGTCGTCTGAAGTCGGTCTCTCTCACCCTGGACAAGCCTCCTAGTGGAAAACCGGGAAGTTCTTCATGGGATCTGTGGTTGGAATCTATTGAGGAATATCTTTGGAGCCAGGCTCAGTTTCACCTCCAGGAATCTGAACAGAGTTAGAGAGAGTTATCTCAAAACAGTGACTAGATCCAGATTTGATTGAGCAGCATGGCTACGAGGCTCTTCCTAAAGGAGGGCATGGCTGGGCGCCGACAATTTGGGGGGCTGGGGGTGTCTCTTCAGATGGTGAAAACGAATGCTGGTGGTGACCATGCATGTCTCGGGATGCGGAGGCCTGAGTGAGACCAGAGAGGAACAGCTCATGCAGTCAAATCAAGTTTACCTATGGTCCTATTTTTAAGTGGCCAGGAAAACAACATTGACAACAACTAAAGACCCCAGCAAACACTCATGAGGACTGGACCCACAACAGCTTACAAACAACACGGATGCTATTTGTTACTGACGTCTCTGGTTGGGATTAACAGGCAAGAACAAAGATACTAGGCTGTGATGATTATTTAATAAGAAAATACTACTTCTCTTTTTCTAAAATCTTCTAAATAACGGTCGATACGTTGATGGGTGGTACGATATGACATTACCTTTTTCCGAGCCCTTTTGTCCTAGAGGCTTGATTACAAGGAAGGAATCTCAAACAACCAAACACCCAGGGATTTAAAGGCAATTCATTCTTTTTTTTCCAACAAACAAACAACAAGGGAAAGAAAGACATGATAAAGAGGAGACAGAGATTATTGTTGCGCTGGAGCAGTGCGCTCAGTTGGAGACAGAGGGTGGCAGGCCGGGACGCCGGGTCTGGATGATTTTGGGCTTTGGAGAAGTCTTTGGGTCCTCTTCCTCCTCCATGTCACTGTCACACACGTGCACGACCACGCTGGGCGTGGATTCCGTCCCTGCGTGCAGCTCGTATTTCTCTCCTGAAAACCAAGGAACGTGAGCGTGAGAAAGAGGGAGAGAGTTCAATGTGGTCTCCGGCAGGCAGGGTGTGCTTAGGAAGTAAGGGGAACACTGTAGTGCCCCTCCCCCCAAACCAGGGATCCCATTATGGGGATGAGGTGGGGTATACAAAACGGACTGAAATCCATTTGTCCTTGTAGCTGACTTCTACCACCAGCCAACTTCCCCCCAGCCAGTCACCAACCCTAGTTACCTTCAAGTGCTCATTTGTAAATGAGGACACCTCCACTCCATGTCACAAAACTGTGTGTCTGGCAGTGTGATAGTTTAAATATTAAATGTCCTCCAAGGGCCTATTAAAGGGCTGGTCCTCATCCTTTGGCTCTGTGGGGAGGTGGCCTTACCATTAAGAGGCGGGGCCTAGTGGGAGGTAGTTAGGACATTGGGGAGATGTCAGGACTGCTGCCCTTGCCTGGCTGGCTCACTGTTTTGGCTTCCCCACTGCTCTGAAGTAAGCAAGACGTCAGGCCCTGAATCCTGTGAAGTGGTGAGCCAAATGAACCTATTTTTCAGGTAGTTAGAGCAGGTATTTTGTCACAGTGATGGAAAGCTGACCAACACGAAGCAGTTAATATGATTAGTCTCTCTTCCATTTCCAACCTTGCTGCTACATGCAGGGTGACCGCGAGCCAGTCATCTGCTTCTTCTTTTGGATGAGATCATCTCTAAGTTTCCCTCCTGTCCCATTCTTACTGCCACAGCTGCCCAGAATGGGAGGGCATACCTTTCCAGGAAATGTAATGGTTTTGAGTTGATTGAACTAGGTTTCTTTCTTTCTTTTCTTTCTTTTTCTTTTCTTTCTTTCCTTCCGTTCCTTTCTTTCTTTTCTTTTCTTTCTTTCCTTCCTTTCCTTTCTTTCTTTCTTGTTTTTTTTTGGCTGATCCTAGGACTTGAACTCAGGGCTTAGGCATTGTTCCTGAGCTTCGTTACTCAAAGATAGCACTCTACCACTTGAGCCACAGCTCCACTTTTGGCTTTTTGGTATTTAATTGGAAATAAGAGTCTCATGGACTTTCCTGCCTGGGCTCTCTTTGAACTGTGATCCTCAGTTCTCAGCTCCTTGAGTAGCTAGGATGACAGGAATGAGCCAGTGGAGCTAGGTAAGACATTTATGCTTAACTGGCTCACTTTGCAGCTCAAGACAACTTCCTGTCTCTTATTTCAGGTGTGTGTGGAGCATCTCTCATAGTCTCAGGTTGTAAAGGCAATACAGATCTTTGTGCTTTTTGTGCAGGCACATGGAAACAGAAATGAGCACAATGTAATATGGTAAGCACTAAGGTGGAATGGTAGAGAAAAGATGGTGGTGCCAACATGGTGAGGAGCAATCACTCTGAAAGACTGCCTGGTGAGAATTCTGTCTGCAACCTTATAACTTCACACTAACCATTAGCATCTTACTCTTCCTCCAGCATTTCCTCCTTCACTATTCATCCTTCATGAACCAATTGAGAAATCTTCTAAAAATCACTGTCTTCCCGATCACTTCTGGGCAGTACCTCCCAGGTCTCACAGACCAAGTCCAACTTTCTTGTAAATTTCTTGTACTTACGTAAGACTCTGTCTGGCTGTGCCCCTGTCTTTCCCAACATGATCTGCCCCTGTTCCTTTTTGATTCATCAACCCAGTTACTGCTGTGTTCTAATGATGATGGGGATTGTCTTGTACCTACCAAATTAGAACTTTTACTTGGCATTGTTTCATTTCTGCCAGAAAGTTCCCTCGATCTTGCGCTCTTTCTGGGATCCTGATGAGACGCTAACCCGTCTAGGGATAGTATCTGCTCTCCTCAGTGGCAGGTGCCTCTGCTGATGGCTAGAGCCAGCATTGTCCCTCTCAGCGACTCTGAGGGCACACGTGGGCAAGCAGGACAATGAGCATGAAGGTCTCACAAAGTCTCTATGAACTGGAGACTGAGGAACACTGACGATGCTAAGTGATACTGGGGAAGATGCGAAGGTCAGGATCAGCCATTGTGGTGGTTTGACTTGCATCCCCTTATAAGACACTGCTCCTGACCTCTAGCACCTGTGAAGGGGACTTCATTTGGAAAGAGGGTCTTGACAGACCTCATGCTGAGACAAGGGCTTTAAGGTGAAGCCCAACTTTGATATGACTTGTGACATAAGAAGAAGGAGGAAGTTTGTGAGTATGTGCTGGCACAAGCGCGTGTGCACACGTGCACACGCACATGCATGCACGCGCACGCACGTGCACACACACACACACACACACACACACACACACCCCTCCATGCCCCAAATGCCATGTGAAAGCTGGAATTACGCTACAGGAGGCCTAAGAACAACCAGAGGCCGGGACAGAGCTCTGAAGCATCTTCTCCTAGCATCTTCCAGTGACCATGGCCCTGGGTATGCTTTGATCTTGGACTTTGAACCTCCAGAACTGTGAGTCAACACGTTTTGTGTTGTCACAGCCCCTCCGTTTGTGGTATGTTGTTATAATAGCCCTTGAACAAATTCATATAGTCAAACCCTATGAGGAGCATTAAGTCAGCCCCAGAGACACAAAGGATGCATGGTACCTTTCTATGTGGATGCTAGATTTAGCTTACAAACTCATATGTACACATGTTGGGTGATATGCAAATATATACAAATGTGACAGATGTAAGAGATCTGGGAGGGGGACCAGGAAGGTGCTTGTCTGAGTCACTCACATGACTTGGACCACAGGAATTAAGAGCCAGCACTCACTTGAAACTTAAGTCACCATTCCACAAAGATGTGCAGTTGCATTGTGCGAGTCAGTACCACCCAAGTGCCTGGTTATATGGGTTCCATCCTCGCTGCAGAATTTAGAACCAATGTAAGCCAACCTAGCTATCAACCTCTAAAGGCAGAACTACCACATCTGCCATTGCTAAGGAGAGGAACACACAGGCAAACAGCCTGTGCACAAAGCCTCCGTGCTCTCAGACATCTGTCAATTTGCTGAGGGTGTTTATGCAAGACAGAAACTACCAGCAGAGGATGCAGCTCTGCAAGTTCTGACCCCAAAAGAACTACACTTGTACTTAGTACCCACTGATGGAATCTGACATGTACTCAGTACTCACCAATGGAATCTGACATGTACTTAGTACCCACAGATGGAATCTGACATGTACTTAATACCCACAGCTGGAATCTGACCTGTACTTAGTTCCCACAGATGGAATCTGACGTGGACTTAGTACCCACAGATGGAATCTGACATATACTTAGTACCTACCAATGGAATTTGACATGTACTTAGTACCCACTGATGGAATCTGATATGTACTTAGTACCCACCAATGGAATCTGATGTGTAGTTAGTACCTACCGATGGAATCTGATGTGTACTTAGTACCCACTGATGGAATCTGATATGTACTTAGTACCCACCAATGGAATCTGATGTGTAGTTAGTACCTACCGATGGAATCTGATGTGTACTTAGTACCCACTGATGGAATCTGATGTGTACTTAGTACCCACCGATGGAATCTGACATGTACTTAGTACCCACTGATGGAATCTGATGTGTACTTAGTACCTACCGATGGAATCTGATGTGTACTTAGTACCCACCGATGGAATCTGACGTGTACTTAGTACCCACTGATGGAATCTGATGTGTACTTAGTACCTACCGATGGAATCTGATGTGTACTTAGTACCCACCGATGGAATCTGACATGTACTTAGTACCCACTGATGGAATTGTACTTAGTACCCACTGATGGAATCTGATGTGTACTTAGTACCTACCGATGGAATCTGATGTGTACTTAGTACCTACCGATGGAATCTGACATGTACTTAGTACCCACCGATGGAATCTGACATGTACTTAGTACCCACCGATGGGATCTGATATATACTTAGTACCCACCGATGGAATCTGCACACGTTCTTAGTATCCATTGCATGTCTCCCCGTGTTTCTGTGTCTGGATGTCAGTGTCTCAGGGTTTTGTATGAGGACAAGGGGCTGTGGTCCCACAAAGGCATGAGCCCAGACACTATGTGCCCGTTCCTTCCTCCAGAGCAGGTACAGGATGGTGGAAGGAGGCCCCTGGGGTTGCAGAAAGGGAGGAGGAGGAGTTCAGGTGGTTCTTTCGGCTCCTCACCCCCAGCACTCACTCATCTTGGGTCATGGAACACAGCAAGGCACTCTGGGTGCCACAGCCTCTCTGGGCTCTGCGATTCTGCCTTTCCTTCAGGAACTCTGGATCGATGGCCATCATCCCTCCTTAAAATTCACTAAAGACTGGCTAGCTCTGGTGGCTCACAGCTATAACCCTAGCCACTCGGGAGGCTGAGATCTATGGATCTCAATTTGAAGCTAGCTGATGCAGAAAAGAATCCGTGAGACAGTTATATCCAATTAACCACCAAAAATCTGGAAGTTGAGCATGGCTCAGGTGGTGGAGATCACTGTTTAGACCCTCCATTTGGGGAGTCAGTTTGTTATGTGGCTACTGGTAAGTCTTGCATTGTCCAAAATTATGTTCAAAAGCCACTGTAGTCACATTTGAACGCCTTCAGGCATGGTTTCACTGCCCAAGCACTGTGATAGGGTGGTTACTTCTGTAGACCTTTCATGTGACAGGTCTACCTGAGCCAGCCATTTCTACCTTGCAGTGGAGGCTGATGGATGATGCTGGAGAGAACTAGAAATGCTTCGTTTGCTCTCTTTCATCTTTGAGCCCTGCCTGCCTTCAAGAATCTGTGCTCTGCTCTGGACCCTGTGCTAAGCCTGTTGTAAAAGCCCTTGCGGTGAGCTGCAGCCTGAGGTTTTCTACCTCTATCACAGGGTGAGTGTGCCCACGCAACTCTGCATTTCAGCTGTAGGAAGTCTTGGTTGTTGCTCTACAAAACCACAAGGTCCACCATAGGCTTTAGTCAGAAATAGAGCTGGTAATTATGGAGAAACTCTCATCTGTCTGCTTATATAACTCTCAGTTAGGTCTG